GAAATGAAGTATTTTGTATGAAAAAGGAAAAAGCTGAAGTATTCTAAAATTCAATTGTTTTTTTTTATTATTTGATGGTCCAAAATCATACATTAAACTGTAGCATTATAATACTTTCGTATATTACAAATAAATATAACTAAATAAACACATCACAACTTATGATGCTAATTTATTGCTGCTATTATTCTTTTATCATCAAATATTTTACCTGTCATTTTGTTAATATTGATAAAAATAACAAGTAGATCTCTGTTATATTTACAGTGATTCACTAATTTCCTTTTACCCAAACAAGAGTATAAATTAAAAGTCTCTTCTTTAAATAGAAAATAAAAATATAAGTAAAATATATGCAAAATAAAATGGAAAATCTATACAAAGATGAGAAGAATCGAAATATTTATTCCCATAGAGTATTTAAATCGGTAAACAAGTCCTGAAGAGTTTTCAAATCTAGAGACGTGATTATGGAACCGATGGTATCCACAAGAACAGATGGTTGATTTACCTGACAAGAAACTGCCAGCCAAAGAATCGTCGTCCTGAGCAACGATCGATCTGCTAAGTAGGAGGAAAAGGACGATGCCCCCAGGGACTGTTCTCAGTATCATCTTCACCTCCCTCGTTGTCTTCTCGCTCTCTCTCTTTCTCTTTCTCCCTCGCTCTCTCTCTCTCTCTCTCTCTTTCTCTTTCTCTCTCCCTCTCTTTCTTTTTTTCCGTTTCTTTTTCTTCAATTTAAAAAGGTAACCGCAAAAACAGTTAAAGCAAGACACACTGTGTCGTTAGCCGGTTCGAACACGTGCGTGTCAAACTACTTTACCGCGAATTCGGCAGCCACGGTATTATACGGGCCCACATTGCCTGTTAGACTTGTTTGACTGACTGACTGACTGAGGAGGTACCGGGGCCCACTTGTGGGTCAGGGTGCGGGTCCCCTCTTTTACGCCAGTCAGAAAAAGGAGAGAAAAGAATGAAGGCGGAGAAGTAGAGAGAATGATTGTCGACGACCTCACTGAGAATTATTCAAAAAGAGGGGGAAGGGTTGTTGGCATTAACGTCAGATCCTTTTGAAAACTTGCATCTTTTAGCACTGTTTAACGTTTTCATTTTTGTCAACTATACTAATAAATTAATGACAAAGTAATAAATTACAGTTGCTTGTCAGTAAAAGAAGTCAATGAAATGAATAAAAGGGAACTAATACAAACTAATACTAATGAAAAATAAACAATAAAGCTTTATAATTTATTAATTAGTAGCAATTGACTAATATAATTCTAATAAATTAACCCCATACTGAGAATTAATAATTCGAAAAATACACTTAATATACTTATTGTAAATCATATATATATGATTACCTGTTAAAAGCTGTAGGCAACGGTTTTAATATTAAATTGTTATTAAACTCTATTACGTGGTATGTGCTGGATCTTTTATTTACTTTATACTATTTTTAGAATAGTTTAATAAACAATGTTGAATTATTATATATTTGTAAACCACAAAGAGTGAAGTATTTAATTGCAAATTTTATTTATAAAATAGATGCAGTATAATTACTATAAGATACATTATAATATTCATAAACCATAATAAAAGTGAATGTTACACTCTTTTTTATTTCATAACAATCGATTAGTAGTTTATTTTCTTAAAATTTAGATACTCTTTAATTCGTTAATTTTCATATTGATTACATTTTCTTTATTATCTAATCTTGACTACATTAGAACTTCTGATTTTTCCTATCTTCCACGTTCACACTGTTCTTCCTCTTTACCTCTCTCTCTCTCGCCCCTCCAACTTTTCTCTTTCACTCCCTCTTTCTCACCACATATACATGTATATGTGTACGATTAGCGGTACTTTACCCGTAAATGTACTGAATACCGTACGATATTTCCCTTTGGAATTTATCGTTCTTTGCACAACGGTCAATCCTTAGTAATCACAGTACTACATTGATATTACTACATTAATATATGCTTTTTTCTTAATTTAGGCAAGAAGATAAATGTTTTTCTAAAATTATATTACTAATTTCAATGTTTTAGATATCAATAGTAAAATATGAAAATAAAGTGATATTCTTTTTAGTAGGCTGAATTACATAATAAAAGAAAGAAGTATAGTTGCTTCAAAAAATTCATTAGTGATGTTACAGTTAATATATATTTTTCTATCTCCAAGTAATATTCATAATACGTATATTTATTATTAAAATTTAAGTAAGCCTAATTCTGATGGATCAACTAATGTAAATTTTTCTATACATTCTATTAACCACATAAGTGGTAAAGTCTTTATATGAGGCATATTATATTTTATACGTGGCTCCTCTCTTCCCGGTACATATATAATATAATGTGTACATTTATATAAAGTATGAGAGGGATTATTGGCAACATGAAAAGGGATAAATTGTTCTTTGTTGTTTATATCTTCTGGTTTCGGTTCCCTTTTCAAAATTTTTCCCTCACCTTCTTGCACAAGTGTCATTAACGCATCTCTTGTTAATTGAACATTGTTTATATAATAAATATTCTTAGATTGCAAAGTAAAATAGAAATGGCATTGATTAAAAAGACCAGGATTCTAAAAACACAACAAAGAATATCCGAAATATTAAAATTTCTTATATACTAGTTTTACGATTAACTTTACCTGATTTTGTGCATTTTCTCTGGCTTTCTTTGGAATACCTTTAATTGGTGCACCATCAATTTCAAATATTTCTAAATCCCCTTTCAATATATCACCCACATCCATACTTAATTGAATCCCTGCCATGAAAAAACATATCAAACAAAAATTACCTTTCATGAATTTTTACAAATTGTCAATTTACAAGTGTACTTACATTCGGTATTAAGTAACCAACATCCACGTAGAAGCGCCATCATTACATCATATGATAATTCTATAACATTTTTACTATTTGCTTCTACTATAACATGAGTCACACTTGATCTAAAATACAAAATTATGCAATATTTATAATCTAAACTAAATATTGTACTATAATATAGTGTAAGGTACTATAAATAACATACCGGAACACAGACATAATTTTAATTTTATACTTCAAAACTATCTGATCTAAGTATCTTTTATTCTCTTTTCGTAAATTTAATGCATATATAACAAATGTATCAAATGGTTGTGTCACAAATAATGATTGATTTAAAGTACAATTCAGATTCACTCCATCAGTTATGTCATTCAATTCATTTTCATCTTTTAAAATATTCCACATCTCAGTGTATGGCTTGCAATAGTCTCTATAAAATAAAGTGTTATAAACTACTTTACCAGAAAAAAAGAAATATTTCAAATAAATGTTAGAATTGATACAAACTACCTGAAGATAGATGTATTTATTTATTTAATTAAAAAAGAGGGAATCCAGCAGTAGTACCCTGTCAGTGATGTGAATAAACAATAATTTTATTGCTATCTTTAACAATCCTAAATAAAGCAGCTTGTAACATCAAGAATATTGCAATCTAAGAATATTTATTATATAAATAATATTTAATTAACAAGACATGCATTAATAACACTTGTGCTAGGTCACCCCACATATGTACACATTAGGATTGAATATAGTAAGATTATAAATCAATATTGAAAAATATATACATGGGCCTTTTTCCATGATTATCATATACATTTTTATTAGCTGAGTATTTTAACAGCATCTTTGCCTCCAATAATCTATTGTTTATAGCAGCATCATGTAATGGTGTTCTAATTTCTACTCCTGGTGTATTTGGTGATGCACCACATTCTAATAATATCTGACATATATTAGTGTATCCATAGCTCACAACTTCTTGCTACAATGAAAAAGTTAATAATATGAATAGCATAATAGCAAATAATTACAAAGATTAGTTTTAAATAAAATAATTACCAAAGGAGTCCAACCATGATAATCTTTTGTATTTGGATTTGCTCCAGCAGCTAACAGAGCTTTTACATAAACATCTTGATTCTGAAAAATATTTGATAATTTGACTCTATTTATTTAATATATTGGTTGTCTTGCAATTTTTAATTAAATGTACTATATTATAAATACACATAATATACCTTCAAACATGCCATATGCAATTGTGTTTCTCCTTTAGCATTTTGTTTATTTATATTCTTTTTAGGTATGTATCTTGTATTATTAACATTCCCTTTCCTTTTTGTTGTTGGTAACAACTGTGTTGTATTTGAATTTGTGTTAATAGTCCATAAATCTCTAATAAATTTGTATTAATATTAAATTAACTGGAATGGAAT